AGCGTTGACACGGCAGGTTAGAAAATTCCTCTTTAAAGTCAGCGGAAAATCCCATCTACTAGCTAGTCATGGTCTGTGACTTAAGTCCATTTTCCTGGGAATAAAGAACATTTTTAAGACAGGAGCGACTTTGGACACGATTGAGTGGGAAGCACGCAGTACGTTCCTCTGCTCCAGGACGCCATTAAGTGCCTCATACTAAGTTGTTACATGACTTTGTACAGCGTGCAGGTTGAACTAAAAGGACGATAAGTTACCGATTCCAGCAAAGACCTGGTTTTTCAGACCTAAGAAATACAAGGGATTTTTCATGCGTAGGGCAATTTTCCTTTTTTTAATGACCTTTAGTATGTCATCAGTATCTGTTCACACAGTAAATCGCTCAGTTTCCGAAAGGCGAATGCATGACTTAATTCTGGATTGGTCTTTAGTCTGAGAAATACTGCCTTTGTCATTTCAGGCAATAAGTAAATACTACGGGATAATGCAGCAGACGGAGAATTCACTTGATGTTAGTGATGCTGTTTTCTGCCTTTAGTACGGGAGGGCAATAACCTGAATGAGTGAAAGCCGATTGGCGAGGGATTAGGGAAGACTGGAGTTTAAATTCTTATCAGAATTCATCACACACACAATCTGAATTATTTGTTATAATCTCAAAAGCAAACATTGATCTGCTGTCTTGTCCTAACGTTTACAGACTCTCAGCAATTTAAAGGTAATAACCTGAAGAACATCGGCATCTCCTTAGAAGAAGAGCCTAGTGAGACGATCTCCGCATCCTCGATCTGCGCCTGCTCAATGTACGCCTCCAGCCAAGGATCAGCAGAACGCGCAAAATGCGCAGTTACTGCGAAAAGTATGAGACAGTAGGATGAACCCAGCGTTGGATGTGCATATGTATATCCCGATCAAAGTCAAAATACTCGAAAACGAGGTGGAGGGTCCAAAGACGTTCATGTGGCAGTGCAATGGTGACCCGAAGAAAGCCACCAGTGTTAGTCAACAAGGCGAGGCGTAGAACGCAAGAGGCACAAAATAATATCGTCTCAAGATGCTATGGCCCGGCCTAGTAGTTGAAATCCCGTGGAGCGTATGCGCACTCGACTTTTTACCACAATACTAACGCGGCAGAGAAGGAGAACACGACCAGCCACAAAAAAGTGTATAAAGAAAAAGCAAGTCAACTCTAACCGGGAAAGTAGTGCGTATTTATAATATCCTACTGGGATCCGCCTGCATTCGGCCTACTGCAATTCGAGAAGAAAATTCTAGAGGAACCTATCGATTACTCGTTGTTGGGAGTGCCTACACTCCCAAAAACAAGAGCCAGCCAATCACGGGAGTCCACGTGCGTTTTCTCTACTGCGCTGTCATCTTAATCGTGGCGCCTCTCCAGTGGCTTTTCCTCTCGGGCCTGATCGATCAGCATATTCGAATTATCGACCGGCTCGTCTCGAATGTTCTTCCCGAAGGGCATTGGGCCGAACGCCAGCGAAGCACCGTAAGGCGTTATAAATACGCGTTACTTCCAGTTTATTTTGACTTGCATTTTCCTAATACACAGTTTCGTGGCCGGTCGCGTTCTCCTTCTCTGCCGCGTTGGTATTGGGGACAAGGGTCGAGTGCGCATACGCTCCACAGGATTTCACGTACCAGGCGGGTCATAACACTCGTATGCACGGATCGATCAGGCACGAGGGGGAAAGCCAGTGGTGAGGCGCCACGATCCTGCTGACAGCGCTCAGAGGAGAACGCACGTGGTCTCCACTGGTAGAATGGCTCATGTTTTGGGAGTGTAGACACTCCCAAAACAACAGAATTTCAAAACGCGGATAACGACTCATTAAGTACAAGCGTAGGTACCGTTGACATTAGGATGACCGTTATGGAGCCTAGGATAAAGACAGACCCGATTTCTACGCAAGATGACCTATGCGATAAAGCAAAAATATTGCCATCGCAGAAGTCACTTCGCTTGCACCTCTTAATGGGATTGACGGGAGCTGTCTTGTGCCAAGAAGTGATATAACAACGTTGTCCCGCCAACTGCTGCCATCAGATTCTCCCAGCTATCCCTAGCGCTCTACAGAGTTCAATCCAGTGTATTTGAAGGAAATAGACGAGTAAAATTTAACTCCTTACTCGTCATATAAAAGTCAAAAATAGGCAAATTTTAGTGTAAAGTGAAAGCAGACTTTGTTTCACACAAGTGCGTTTTTTTAAGGGAAACAGAGTCACGCAGTAGCTTTTGATGCAACGTATGCCTGTTAAGGCGATGTTTTATGTCTCCATGGAGTGTAGGGTGTCCAGATGTCGAACTACATAACGGTTGTGGTAGGTCTCTCACTTGCTTGCAGGTGTAGACTACGCCAAACGCCCTCTGCTGACACCCAACTCTCACACGTGGTTCCCCGATGCTGATCTCTGCCTAGCGGTCGCACCCTGGTAACCGCCTCGGCCGACGAGCTAAACAAGGTGAGGGTATCCGTGTGTGCATCTCCGCACAGGGCAATCTCAGGTGCGTCGGCCGGATGCACCGCCGCATCGGCATCGTCGATACGAGGCTCCGTCTGGCACACCGGAAGAGGCCAGAAGGTAAGTGAGTTACCAGGTAAGCGGATGTGGCCCTGCTAGATTGCTATTTGTCTGGTTGTTTGTGTTTGTTCTTATTGTAAGCTAAATGCCGTTCTGTTGAATTCTTCCGCTCGCCCTTTATATTTAAGCAAGCAGTTCGCTTATAGAAGGGCGGAAGAGCTCTGATTCCCGTCACTGTACTCTTCCCCTACCCCCTCCCTCTTCCTTTAAGTCCTACGGTGATGTCGTAGGCAGGGCCAAGCTAACTCGGATTGTTCTCCCACTAAACAAAAGTTGTTGTCCATAGTGAAGTTCGGCAGCCGTCTGCGACAAATGAGTTGCCCTATCTAGGGAGAGTATTGCTCACCTCCGCGAGGGGAAAGGCGTCCTAACCAAATGCTGGGGACCCACGCCGTCCGAAAAACACACAGCTGAAACAACCAAGTAAGAAGCAAAAATTTCTCCCTTCCCCCTCCTTCTCCTGCCACTCCACTCGCCACACTTGTAGGGTGAGTCCACTCATTCTGGCAGCCTGGGATGTTCATTCCCTTTTAGACAATCCAAGGAGCAACCGACCGGAACGGAGGACAGCGCTAGTGGTCCGGGACCTGGCGCGCTACAAGGTGGACATCGCCGCACTCAGCGAGATCCCATTCTCCGAACAAGGCCAACTGGAGGAGGTGTTTGTCGACTACACTTTCGTCTGGAGCGGTCGCCCCAGGGCAGAGCGACGGGACGTGGGTGTCACCTTTGCCATCCGGAACGACACCGTGGGACGTCTGCCCCGTCTGCCGCAGGGTATCAAAGATCATCTGATGAGCCTACGCCTGCATCTTCGGGACGGCAAATTCGCCACCATCGTCAGCGCCTACGCTCCTCCGATGACCAGCCCTAACGAGGCGAGAAACAAATTCTGCGAGGACATGCATACCCTCCTAGCGTCTGCGTTGAAGACGGAGAAGTTGGTTGTCCTTGGTGACTTCGACGCTCGCGCAGGCGGAGACCATGCTGGCTGGAGTGGGCGTTGGCTACCCGTGGTCTCAACGGCTTCAAAGACAATGGTCTGCTCCTTCTCCACAACTGCACAGAACACAGCCTCGTCTTAACAAACACCTTATTTTGCCTGCCGGAGCGAGAGAAGGCCACCTGGATAAATCATCGGTCGCGTCAGTGGCACCTACCGGACTGTGTCCTCGTCTGGAGGCGAGACCAGCGGGACGAGCTGGGGACAAATGCGATTCTGGGTGCTGCCGGGTGGACCGACCATCGTCTCGTCATCTCCGAGATGCAGACTGATCTACAGCCCCACAGGTGACCTCAAGGTAAGCGAACCCTGGGTACGCTGAATACTGCCTTGCTGTCTTTGCCTGCTTGCCATCTTCATTTCAGCAATGAGCAAGCTCAACCGCTAGCCAATCTTGCCGTCGTCGTCGTCGTCGCCGCCGCCGCCGCCACTGACGCAACCGCCTCCATTGGGAACCGATGGTGTCAAATGCAGGACACAGTCTAGTCAACTGCCGTGTCTGTCCTGGGCCGCGCTCGTCGCCAACACCAGAACTGGTTCGATTACAACGACGTCGCCATCAGCAACCTGACCGCCGAGAAGAACAGTCTGCACAAAAACCTACGCCGACCGCCCCACTGACGACAGCAAAGCAGCCTCCTATCATAGTTGCCGCTTTGTGCAACGGCGACTGCACGAGATACCGGCCGTTTGGACGAGTCGCAAGGCCGAGGAGATCCAAAGGTACGCGGACTGCAAGGAATGGAAGGACTTCTTAATAATAATGATAATAATAATATTCATAATAATTGTATATAATTTCAGTTTACAGACAATGTCAGGGAAGCGTTAAACGCAAATCCGGCCAGCAGCGAAAAAACTACTGTCAAAAAGGCGACAAAAATAAAGTTTATGATGATTTTTTATAGTTTGGAGGGTTCAGGAGAAAAAAACTGCTGATCATGAAACGCCGACAGTCAAGAAATGGAGAGGTAGCACTGCATCGGATGTTGTCAGTCGCCAATTCTTTTCATGAAGTTGGGGCTGGTCCGAACGGAAGCACTTAAGAACAGCTTTTACTGTTGGCTAAAGAAATTGTCCCTGATGAAACCCCTCATAGAGATCAGCGAGCGCAAACGCCGTCGCTACGGTAAAATCGATCAGTGGATTCAGCACCCAAAATTTGTGGTATCTTTTATGAATGCGAAAATCGAGTAATAGTTCTCTTAAACAAAGGATAGTTTCGCAGAGCTTTCACATCCCTGGGTAATGTATCTCAAATAGCATGTGCATTTACAGAAAAGCACCAACGATATTTAACGGTACGTGCCAGAGGAATAAATGAAAAGACCTCACGGTGACTGTTACGTGGGGGAGTGGACAAGATGTCTTAAAGAAGCGAGCAGGTTAACGGTACGATTATATAAATGCCTAAATAACAAAAATAGTCCCTTTTGTAATCTACGAAACCCTAGAGGATCAAGGTCTGTAAGCCGTCAACGTTCTCGGGAAGACAAATGTAGGTGTTCCGGGGTTAAAACTATCTTGGTAAAAAGTTGTTGAACGGATTCTATTTTCTTCCGCTCAGCAGCACGCATGAGGCTAAATAAAAACGAACAGTATTCCAGGCCAGGTCTTACGTACATGTTATAAAGGCGCATTCTAATATCGTTGGTTTTAAAGTTTCGGAGGAAAAAATCGGTCGTTCTACGTGCTTTGGAGACATCAAGGCACAGTGCTCCGAGAGATTGAGACTCTTGGAGTATGATACACCCAGATCCTTAAAAATTTCAGCCACATTTATGTCGTGACCATCAATACTTTGTTGAGATTGATGGTCGTCCCCAACCATCAGAACTGAGCACCTATGCCAAGAAAGAGAAAGGCACCACGTGTGGCACCGCCGGGTAAAGGCCTGTAGGTCGTTCTTTAGTAGCTCAAGCCCGATGTCAGGATCTGCCGGCTTATATCGATATGCAACTTTCAGGTCATCGGCATACATGAAGGGCTTACAATTCTGAAATAATTCTGGTATATCGTTAAGAAAAAGGCAAAATAAAAGCGGGCCGAGTAAACTACCCTGAATGACTCCACTCCTCACACATGTGCGGTTGGAGAAGCATTGGAAATCTTAACTCCTTGTGTGGAAGCGACCAGGTAAGAGGACATAAAATTCGTTGCCACCTCTTCCGAAAGAGGAGAGTTTCAAGAGAAGAAGAGCATGGTCAACACGGTCAAAAGCCTTAGTGAAATCGAAATAGACTGTGTAACGCGCAAAACCATTGTCCCTAGATTGGAGAACATGTTCAAAGAAAGAGAGCTGACAGGTGTCACATAACCGGGCTTTGAGAAATCCATGCTGAGCAACACTCAATAGGTCATTCTCTGTTAATTGACACATCATCTTATTCTTGATCAGTGTCTCTAAGATTTTGGAAACTGCGGGGAGGGTGGTAATTGGCCGAGAGTCATCAAATGACGTAGATTGGCCATGCTTAAGAATGGGCAAAATGTGTGATTCCTTCCACAAAGTAGGGCAGGCTTCACTTTCAAAAACGATATTAAACATCTTACATAAGAGGGATCGGAAAATTACACTTGCATTCGTTTTTAGGATGCTAACGGGGACACCGTCGAGCCCAGGGCTATTAGGTTGACGGAGGCGCCGAATCGCAACAGTCACATCCCACAGGGTGAAAGTGATACTTTCGAGAACTGCCACGGTCAATGCCTGGATGGTCGGAAGTGAAGTAATCGCATTTTTAATAAACGTTTTGGATAGAAAAGCGTTAAAACCCCCAACAGTTAACTGGACATCGGCTAAGGGATTCCCAAGAGCGTCTCGGAGAATGAGATTCTGCGTCTTTCTTCGAGTTCGTACTTTTCTGGAGGAAAGTTTCGACACATTCAACAAACAGTTTTCAGTAAATTGGACCTCTTTGACCAGCTGTTTTTCTTCGAAAAATCTTTTAGCCCGCTAAAAAAAATATGAAAAAATCGAGGGCAGAGCGGAAACGTTATTCTGAAGATGGAATCGACGAGAAAGTCTGCGCAACCTGCGGCGAAAGGGCAAGGGTAGAAAAACCTCATCCCCGACATGAATTATTTTCTTACGGGGGACAAAACGAGAAATACGCGGATAAAAAATTTCGAACAGTTTTACAGTTCAAAAAGTTACATCCAAACTTAGGAATAAATCAATCCAAACGTAGGAATTAAGGTGTGTTACTAATTCGGTCGAGCGAGCTGATCGGAAGTCGAGGAAAATACTATACCTTGGGGAAAACGTTTTGTCAGCCTCGAGTTCTAATACTGGAACAACTATGTCATGGTCTGAGCTCTCGAGTGGGCCTAGGGATGACACTGACAAAGGCATGCAACCTCTACAGAGTCTGGGCGAGACAAATCTCAGAATAGTGGACGAAAAAATTATACGCGTCCAGAGGCCATTCCTCTGGGGAAAGCCCATAACTCTAACAGCTAAGGAGTGATGGAAAGCAGTTCATCCCGCTCAGCTCCGACCGGTTTCTGCATTCAATCCCAAGAAATGGATAAACGCCAGTATGCCGGAGTTGATCGTGCCAAATTGAGATTTTTGTATACCAATGCTCAAACTCTCGTTTCGAAAATCGACGAACTCAAAGCGATGGTACCGCGACGAATCCCCGACGTCATCGCCATAACGGAAACTTGGCTTAATGCCGAAATCTTGGATGCTGAGATTTCGATACCGGGTTACCATCTGTTTCGCAGAGACTGTCAAAATAGGCAGGGCGGCGGGGGGTATTCGTATATGTAAGGGAAGGAATTTCAGCAGTTGAAAGAGCGCACACCATCTCCCTTGAATGTGAATCCGTCTGGATAAAGATAAAGAAGAGCAACTCACAAAATCTAGAATTTCTGGCGATTTACATACTACCAAACCTTATGAGTGCAGCTGATGATTCGCTTCTTGGTTTAGTCAAAGACGTAGCTAGCCACCAAGAGGTACTTATTGTTGGGGATTTCAACGCACCTGCAATACAGTGGGAAACTATGGCAGTTAACGGCGGACCAGGCTCTTTCAGCAATAAGCTACTGGACCTCACACTCAATCTCCCTCTGGCGCAACATGTGAAGGTACCAACAAGATTTCGAGAGAACCAGAGAGCGAATTGTCTAGACCTAGTTTTCTCTAAAGACTTCTCTAATATCGACGAAGTGTATTCCAATGCACTTCTTGGGAAAAGTGACCATACTACGCTACTATGGGATTACTCGCTCATCTCTAAACGCTAGAAGAGAACAGAGGGCCAACCTAATATATGGAAGGCAGATTTTAATATGATGAAGAACGACTTGCTGTCCGTGAATTGGGACCAAATACTCAGGGGACATCCGGAGGACAACTAGAGATCTTTTAAGACGATTTCATTCGATCTGATTAGGCTCTGTTGTCCACTTAAAGTACAAAAAACAACTAGTCGACCTGCTTGGTTAACTAGGGACCTAAATAGGCAGCTACGGAAGAAAAGCAAAAGATGGAAAATATTCAGATAAACTGCGTCACCAGCGCATTTCGAAGAATTTCGTCGTCAACGAAATGCCGTCAAAAAATGTATCCGTCAGGCACGGAAGGAGTATGAATCCAAAATTATCCGACAGGCTGAACAGAAACCTAAGATTTTATTTCACTATCTTAACAGTCGACTGAAAAATAAGGACCCGGTCGCGGTGCTGAAGGATAATAATGGTGTAGAGATCATTGAGAACAGCGAGAAAGCCGAACACCTAGGACAGCATTTTGCCTCGGTTTTTACTAGGGAAACAGAGTTTCGCAGTCGTAGTGCTAGCAATGCTGTTGAGACTGCTGGTCGCGTGCTTGACTCCATACTCTTCCCGACAGCTGTCGTGGAAAGGGGGCTGAAAAATCTCAAGGAAGCAAAGTCCTCGGGTCCGGACAATATACCGGCCAAATTCTTGAAGGAACTGGCGAATGAACTCTCCAAACCACTGGCGCACATCTTCCGCTCGTCATTCGAATTAGGGAGGCTGCCATCGGAATGGAAGACAGCAAATATCTTTCCGATATACAAGGGCGGGTCTCGCACTAATGCTAACAATTACCGGCCTGTTAGTCTAACCTGTATCTGCTGTAAAATAATGGGGGCCATAGTTAATAAAGCAACAATGGAGTTCCTGGAGCAGGGCCATTTAATCTCAGACCTGCAGCACGGCTTTAGACAGAACCGCTCGTGCCTTTCCAGTTTATTGCTCTCGACGGAGCAGTGGACTCGCGCACTGGACGAGGATGGTAGGGTCGATGTCATCTACACAGACTTTAAGAAGGCGTTCTACAGCGTCCCACACAAACGCCAAATTTACAAACTTTCTGAAATTGGGATAAGAGGAAGGCTACTGACATGGATAACAGATTTTCTTACCGGGAGATCGCAAACCGTGTGCATTGAGGCCTCAAGGTCAACTCCTACCCCCGTTCTAAGTGGTGTACCCCAGGGCTCCGTCTT